CACTTTCTCTAAGACTCTTCTGCTTCTTGGGATGGTGGGGAGCAGAGCTGAAGTCCGGGGAGTCCAGAAGGCTGTGGGCGCCCGGGAGGAGACCGCAGCCAGCCGACAGAGCCCCTTGCTTCTGTGATCTGGCTTGACATCCCCCCTTCCCGCGGGCACTCAGCGTGTGCCAGGGTCTGGATGAGGCGCAGAGCCTAGCCAGCAAGAAGGGAGTGGGCCCCCACCCTGAGGAGGTTGCCACATGGGGCAGACACCCCAATGGACACCACGAGACAGCCCAGGGCGGCTCTGTAGCTCTGACCTGGTCGGTCTGAGGTCACCACCCCAGGGCCTCTTTTCCGTCTGCTGTGGGGATGCAGGGGCACCAACCAGATGGGTGTGGGGGAGGATATGGACCCAAGACTTGTCATGCCAGGTCCTGTGCTGTGTGTATGCTCCCAGCACACCACTGAGATCCTCTCTTGGCTTCCAGCTCCCCCCCTCCGCCAGCCAGCTCTGTCTGTGGCAAAGCAGCATTGCTGAGAGTAGGTGGAACTGGCTGGTGCTGGGAGCTATGGCCGGAACTCCTGGTGAGAGGCCGGGCGGGGCCGAGGCGGGGTGCCTGCAGGGTGAGGGCAGGCCCTCCAGCCTGTGTTGGAATCCCATCTGAGCCGCTTGGCAGGCTGTGTCCCTGGGGCAGCTCACTGAGCCTGGGAAATGGGCACAGTGGTGTCCCCGCCCACAGGTCATCAGGAAGATGAGATGGACATGCTCAGTTGGCACCTGAGGGTGGCGGCTGTCCGGTGATGGTCAGGGCCACCGTCGGGGACCAGGACGCATGATGTATGGTACGTTGTGTGCCCATGATTTTCACAGGATGCTGCTGTGTAGGTGAGGTCCACCTGGCCCCCCCGCAGAGAAGGAGAAGGCATGGGGTCACAGGTGAACAAGTGTCCCTGGGCTCGGCACGCTGGGGGGCTCACGGTGATGGGAACTGGCTGTGGGGGAGGGTCCTTCTCTCCTCTTCTGGCTCCTGGGGCTCTAGGTGCTCCCGGGCTCCTGGCCACACCCCTCCATCTGGCCTCTGTGGTCCCATGGGCCCCCCGCCCCGTGTCCGTCTGCGTCCCTCCTCCCACAAGACACCGTCACTGGATTAGGACCCCCTCCCCACCGGTGTAGTGTGACCTCATCCTAATAAGTCAGATCTGCAAAGACCCCATTTCCAAGTAAGGGCACGTTCCGAGGTACCAGGATCTGGGGGGGTTACCATTCAGTCCCAACCAGGGGTGACCACACGACCCCTAGAGGTGCTTCGTGGTGAAGTAGACAAGGCCTCCATGGGCCCACGAAGTATTGGTTCTGTATGAGCCCCGTGAGGGCTCCGATCAGACCTGCTCAGGGCTGGAACAGGACTGCCTCTCCCTTTGTGGAACCCACACATACTCGGTCCCACCTATGATCTGGAGTGCCATCAGTGTAGTTTGTCGACCTCGTCATGGGGCAGGCGTGTTTGCTCTCACGCTCCTGGTGGGGGTGGGGGGCAGAGTGAGGCAGGGAGCGCTCTCCCAGACCGGTAGGAGCGCAGCTCGGTGAGGCCAGGCGGTTACAGGAACCGGCGGGGAGGGGACTATCCTGCACAGATTGGGCCCACTTCCTCATCTCTGCCGGGGACTAGGAAGTCCCACACTGAGATTGTCGCTGGGGCCCGGCCTGCTCAGGCCCATCATCACTGGGCAGGTGGGAGGGTCTTCGAGCCGGAGAAGCCTTCCCTTTCCTCAGGAAGCTGTCTGTGAGGCAGTGGGGAGCAGGCCCTCTGGTGGGACTCAGGCACTGATGGGCCAGTCCTGACCCGGGGCGGAGGCGGGCAGGACGAGCAGCTGCCACAGGATGGGGCAGGATCCTGGGAGATGCCTGGCTGGCTGCTGGGGGGATGTGGCCCGGCGGGGTGGGAGGCTCAGACCCCCTGTGTGGGCTTCAGAAGGGAAGAGAAGCGAGAGGGCAGGCTGGCCTCCAAGCCCTTGTGCGTCCTGGCCCCGACCCCCGACTGTGGCTGGCCCTGTGCGGTAGCCGCGAGGGCCGGGATCCCAGTGGGTGAAGCCAGAAGGGAAAGCACCACCAGGTTGGGCTCTGCTGGGGTCCGGGGAGGGCGGCCAGCACACAGAGCTGTGTCCCGAAAGGTGGTGGGGGTCTTCAATGCTTTACGAACATGGAGACAGCCCAGGGACCAGAGCTTGCGGGGTGCCAGGGCCTGAATGACATGTAAGCCGTTTGACAAGGCTGTGTGAAGAAGGTTCTGGGCATCTGTGGTTCCGAAGGGCCTTCTTCCCCTGGAACAGGAAGCAGCCGCCTTGCCCGCTGCTCCCTGGGCCAACAGCTCTGCTGGAGAGGAGCTGCTAGTCAAGCTGTGTGTGGGGTCCCCTGCGTGCTCCTGGGGGTCAGGTGCCGCCTTCTCCCCCCCCCCCCCCCCCGGCTGTGCCCCATCCCTCCGAGGTGGTTCCAGATCGGACTCAGGTCCCTGTTGGGGGTGGGGATAGGGGCTGCTGGAGGCATGGCTTCTGTAAGCCTTGGGGGCCTCGGGCTGCTAGGGGCCTGTGGGTCCCTCTAGAGGAACAGACAGCCCTCTTCACCCCCATTTCTCTGCAGTGAGGGGCTGTTTGGGACCAAGGCCGTGGGAGGGGCAACCAGATTAGTTCCGGTCAGAAACGTGGGGTGTCCTGCTTCTGCAGCTCCCGGGGCCACTCCAACTTTTCTGTCTCTTTCTTGTCTTTTTCATTTGGATTGTAGAAGCAATCCTGGCTTGTGATGGGCTGAAAGGCCGGCCTTGCCAAGCCCCAGCAGTGATGATTCTAGACACTTAGGGGAGGCTCCAAGGGGCTACAGACTGGGCGAAGCCCCTGTGGGCTGAGGCTCCCTCAGGTCCTGTCCAGGGAACCCAGGAGGTGAACTCAAGGGCTGAGCAGTGCCCCTGGGACTCCTGCTGGGGTCTGGTGCACAGAGGCTTTTGGGACGGGAGGACACAGGTGGCTGGACTGGGTGTGTCTGGTGCCAGGCAGTGGCTCCCACGGGACCCCTGGCCTCAAATCCCCAAGGACCAGGAAGGAGGGTTGGGCAGGGGGCCTCGATACTGACCCTCTGTGTTCTGTCCAGCTTGGGAGGAGCAGACGACAGGAGGGATTGGCCGGCTCCCCTGGGATCAAAGGGTTGGGAGTCTGGGGGTCTGGGAACCCGTTTTTGCTCTGCAGCCGCCTAGCTATGTGGCTGCTTGGGCCACCCGTGCTTTGCCTGGTCAGTTCTGAGCCCTTGGGACACCTTGGGAGCCAAGGTGACCTCGGGCCTCTGGCTGGCTCTGCCCACCCCACCCCCACCCCCATCCCCATGCTTGTGGCAGTGAGGATGGCCACCTGTCAGGCTCTCTGCACGTGGTCTCCATGGCCCGAAGGGCCTTGCTGACTGCCCAGCCCTCTCCCCTCTCCTCCAGTGTTGCCCGTCACAGAACTCGCCCTGGACTAGCAATAGCACATACAGGAGGTGACGAACCCCTGTGTCTGAGGCTCTCTGGGGACCTGGTGCATGTCCAGTTCTTGGGGGAGGTCTGGAGGGAGGTGGGAACAGGACCAGGGGCTGGTGGGGGCTGTCCAGGCTCTGTCTTGACCTGTGTCCATCATGGGGGTCCGGCTCCCCACCATCCACCAGGATGGGGGGTGGCCAGGAGGAAGCCTGGTTTGCTTCTGGGTTGGCATTGTTGTCCCCGGAGAGGGAGCAGGAGGGTTCCTTCCTGTCCCCGGGTGCTCTGTGCAGAGGGAATCCCTGCCGGGCTGTCCTGGGTTTGGTTTGAAATCTGAGAGCTCAGTATCAGGGCTCAGGGGGGCCCACAATGAGGGGGTTCCCTTGCTTGTGCGATCTAGCTGTACTCTTGGCAATGTTCTGGGCAAGCCAACAGGATCATTCCTTGTCTTCTCTGTCCCCGAGGCTGCTCCTGTCCCTGTGGCTGCAGTGGGAAGTCTGCCCCTGCCTTCCCCAGCCCTGGCCCCCCTCTTGCCACCTTTGCCTCCGCCGCTGCCCCCACGTGTCCCATCTGAAAGGGGATTTAGTGTTCTGTGTCCTGAGTGGTGACAAAGCCCCAACCCCAGGAGCACGGTCTGTGCATCTATAACAGCCTCTCGTCTCTGACCCCAGGAAGGAGTGAGGCATAATGACCGCTCTCTTGGTGGTGGGGGGCGGGGGGGGGGCGAGGCACCCTGGAGTGGGGAGCCATTGCCCATTCTGCCTCATTCTGCCTCAGCCACTTCCTTCTTCTCTGCCATCCGCCCCCTGCTTCCTTCCCTCCCTGGGCGGCCCTTCCTTCCTGACCCATGACATGGGATGGTGTTCCGGGGCCCTTCTGGAGCCCAGGCCTCTTCCGGTGGGCAAGGGAGAGCCCCCTTGAGCCAGCTGAACCCCGGGGTTAGTAGTATAGGGAGCAACAGGATCTCCTGGGAACCCGAGACCAGATCACAGCAGAACCGGTGCTTGTGGGAAACGGAACTAGATGGGAGTCTCTGGGGGTGGGGGGTGTCTGTTCCGGCCGGAGCTGAACGGGACGTGTGGTGGGCCTGCTCATGTCCGAGGCACCTGGGTGTCCCCCGAGGACTTCTGCTCTGGTTCCCATGTCTGTCCTGCATTGGTGGGAATGTTCGAGCAGCCATAACAAGTCAGGCTCTGAGCTGCTTCCTGGGGTCCGTGGGTGAGCTGGAGCGGGAGCCCCACCTGCCTGCATGGCTTCCAGCCACTGCACCTGGGCAACGCTGGCCCGTGTCTCCGAGAGAGCCTGCGGCGGGCCTCATCGTTGCTGGAGAAGCAACAACAGACTCAATGGCAGAGCTCTGACAGACGTGCAGAGGGCGGCCTGGCGAAGGAGAGGGCATCTCTCCTCCCGACCCCAGCCCTTGTGGCAGTGTTCTCGGGCACCTGCCTGTGTTCCCGGGGAGACCTCCCTGCTGACCAGCACCCTGTCCTCTTCTCTCAGTGGCCAGCGGGCATGCGGAGCCCCCAGTGCTGAGGCCACTGCTGGGCATGGAGGGCCCAGTGGAGGAGCCAGCCCCGGAGGGGAGAGGGCCCACGGCTGCACCCTCGGGAGGCAGCGGTGGTGGTGGCCGCAAGGTGCCAAGAGTGGCCATGAGCGCATCGGTCGTCTGGGAGCGAGCAGGGCCCGAAGAGGCCAAGGCTGTGGTCGGAGGTGGTGAGTACAGTGCGCGCCATCTGCCCATGGTCCCACAGCCCACGAATGGTGCAGGGTCATTGTGTGTGTGGGGACAGACACCTGTGCCCAGTGAGTCACTGTGAGGGACGAGGGCCCCAATAGTATTTCTCCAGGAACACGAGTGTGTCATTGATAAGAAAACCGGCACGTCAAAGGTGGAGGGTCCAGAAAGTTCTGGAACGGCTGCCCCCCCACCCCAGGCTGAGAGGGCACGTGACCCCTCGGTGAATGACAGGTTCAGATGGGCTGAGATACAGCCCTGTCAGCCCCAGAGCCAGGGTTCCTTCTGGGCTGCCCCCTTCCGTCTGTGGTCAGCAGACAGTCAGCAGACGGTCAGCAGCAGGACAGCAGCCCCCGAGCAAGTCCACATCTCTGTCCCCAGACATGTAGCAAAAGTGATTTTGCGGGTGGGGTTAAGTGAGAACCCTAAGATGGGAAGGTAAGCCCGGGGTCAGAATTGGAGACCCTGATGTTGGCCTCGCTTCCAGCTTGGAAGGTAGAATCAGAGCCACAGGCCAAGGGTGCGGGCAGACTCCCCTGGGAGCTGGGGACACGCTCTCCCTACGGAGCCTCCAGGAGGCACCAGCTCTGCTCATGCTTTGGTTTTAGCTTGAGATGGTTCCAGAATCCAGCCCAGCAATACAACACACTGGTTTGTTTTCAGAGGCCTCCAAGCGTGGTCTTTTAGAGCCAGGGAGAGCCTCACACCCCCTCTGTCCTCCTTGGGCCTTTGTGACCTGGGGGCAGGGGACGTGAGGGGTGAGGGTGTGTATTGGTGTGGACACACCTCGTTTCTTCCAGATTACTGGGGGCAACAGCTCAGAGTTGCCTGTTCTGACCTTGACCCCACTGTGCTCTATTGGTCTGACCTTGACCCCCACTGTCCTCTGTTACAGATGCCACTCCTCCCCCTGGTGGCTCCGGGCCGGCTGCTGGGAGCCCTCCAGTCCAGATGGGCACGTACCCCACAGGTAGACCTGCGTGGGCACCACAGAGTGTGGCAGGGTTTAGTCTGGGTGGAGCTGTGAATGTGGGCTCCCTGGGTGCGCCCCCTTGCCACTGCAGATTCAGGAATGTCTAGTCCCCAGACCCCCAAACTGGGGATCACTGTGGGAGGAGGGAGGATGCTAACGTGAAGATGGCCAGGTCCCGCGCCCAGGTTCCGATTTGGCCTTGCTGGGAGATAGGGCCCAGGATTGCACTTCGGCTGGGGGCCTGAAGGCCGAGTCCACTGCCCCAGAGGCTGGGCCACAGGAGGGGGTGAGACTCTGGGGAGGGGTCGCATGTGGGACCTGTGGGAAAACCAGACCAACCAGATCACTGTGTTGTGGGCGGGCGGTGGGGGGCGCAAAGGGAGGGGCAGGGCCCCTGGGAGAGGTGGCCAAGACAGCGTCTGGGGAGGGGGCTCCGAGGATGAGCAGGATTTCTGCACGGTGCACACGAGGGGAGGCAGCCCTGTGTGGTAAAGGAAGATGGGGCGGTAAGAAGCCCCCGGACCCTGAGACCCCACTCGCGGCCCCCAGCGGTGGTGGCACAGAAACCCCAGTGTTGCTGGCGGTTCACCTCGGTGTTGACACCCGCCCGTCTTCCCACATTCCTTCCGGGACCCGGTGCTGCCTGTGGTCACTCACGATGACCAGGGGGTGTTGAGCAAGCAGCAGATTATTTTGGGTCTGAAAATGCCGCCCGCCCTCTTATGGGAGTAGGAGGCGTCATGTCTCAGAACCAGTTGTGAAATGTTGGGCTTGCTTCCTCCTGGGGGAGTGAGCCTGATTCCAGACTCCAGAGGTCTCCATACTGCTCTCCTCTTCCTCCCCCTCCTCCTTGGTCTCTTTCTCCCCCCTCCTTCTCTCTCCCTTCCCATCTCTCTCCTCCCCTCTCCCTTCTCCTGCTCCCTCCCCCTTCTCCCATGTCCCCTCCACCCCTTTGGAGCAGCTCATGCTCTGGGGCTCTCAGTAACACAGTTGGGGGTCCTCTTATAGGGGGCAGGGATGGGGGCAGGCAGGGAGTAGATTTGAGAGTAGATGTGAACTGTAGGGCAGCCTGTTGGAGGCCAGGATTTGGTCTGGAAAGAGTGCTCCACGTGGACCACGTGCAAAGGCCCTGGGGCAGTGTGTGTTTTGCGGGGAGGGAGGGTGCTTTGATGTCCTAGAGAGCCTGGAGCAGCTCCAGCCTAGAAGGGAGGGAGAGAAGAGGTGATGGAGGCAGAGTAGAGCCAGAGGCTCGAGGCTGTGCTGGTAGGAAGGTAGAAAGAGCTTACATCTTGCTGTCCCTGAGAAGGAAAAGCCTGCAGCCATGCCACCCAGAATGGGGGCCACACAGTTTATGTTTGCATTTAACTTAAATAACATGAAAAATCTGATTGCCACAGTTGCAGTGGCTCGACATGGCTGGAGGTGGCCTGGGAGGGTTGAGAGTGGGGCGTACAGCCAGCCAGAGCTCCCTGTAAGGGGGCCCTGGGGCTCTCCGTGGACCAGAGGACTGCGTGGTGGGAGGGCAGGGCCTGGACAGCTGCCTGGGGCAGACCTATAGGACCTGGGCCACAGGAGGGGGCCCACCGTGGCTTCGCCTGGTTTTGCAGTTCACGGGGGGTGGGGGGACCCGGGTGCTATGTGGTGCAGGGAGGTGTCCTTGGTCTGAGCCAGGTGGGCTGGGGGCCCCTTTGGGAATGGGAACGACGGCATGTGGTTGGGGTTGGCTTAGGGGACAAGATGGTGAGTCCTGGGACATCTGTGGGTGATTTGCTGGAGCTTGAATGCTCCTGTCTGGTGCGGTGGGGAGGTCGGGGCTGGAGGTCACAGTGACTCTGGTGACTTTGCTGAGTGCTGGCTCTGTGCTGCCCGTCCCAGACCTGACCTTGCAGCTATTGGCCGTGCGGAGGAAGACGGGGCTGCTGGACCCCAGCCTGCAGCAGACGGTGAGGAGCCGGCTCCGCCTGCTGGAAAATGACAGCCGGGAGGTGGCCCGTGCACTGGGGGTGAGTGCAGCTTCCCAGGGGGCCTGGGAGGTTGGAGGGGGTGGGGCCCTTTGGAGGGGCTCCAAGGCTGAGAAGGGGGACAGAGGACGGGGTGGACCTAGGAGGAGGGCCCTTGATGCCCAGGCCTCTGTTGCTGAGGGGCCAAGGCCACAAAAAGGGAGGATGCCCCTGGAACTCACCACGTGGTGGCACTGTGATTGTCCCTGGCTATTCTCCTGGATGTCTGGGTCAGGGAGCCACTGATCACACCTGCAGATCCAGCCACATGTGGCCTGTGGTGCTCCCAGGGTCTCCTCCCTTTCTCCGTGCTCCCGACCCTGCTGAGATTCTTAATGTCTCTGTCATTAAGCGGAAGGGACTGGCGTGTGCTGATCTTAACTCTGATGATGGGGCCAGGCCCCTGTTGGCCTCTGCACAGGGGACTTTCAGGCAGGACCATGGCCAACAAGGGGGCTGACCTGGGCAGCCACCAGGTGACCTTGTAGTCAGCCTGCCTGACCTTGGCCTCTGTAAACCCAGTTTCCCCAGCCACCCATCAGGGATGTTTGGTGAGGTGTGGATCCTGCAAACGGCCCGGGAGTCTCAGCCCAGTGCTCTGCCGCGGGGCCGTCCTGGGTGATGCCAGGCCAGGGGCAGAACCCCAGCCATGCCATGTACTTGAGGGTCAGACCCCAGATAAGAAACGTGGCCTTAGTTTCCGGTCTGTCAAGCGGATCCCAGAGTAGCACCCTTCCCCCGCACACAAACCCTGTGCCTTCTAAATGCTGGTGTTCAGTTCATGCCTGATTGCCCCCCGGGCGTTCATGGGATGGGAGTCAGAGGAGGGGGGCGCTGGAGTCCGGACAATCCCTGCATCGGTGCTGTGGGAAGGGCTGGGAGGCAGGGTTGGGTTGCACAGTGCTAAGAGCCCAGCCTGCTGGGAGAACCTGCTTGTTGTGGAGGGCGGGGTGGAGCATGGAGCCCCCAGGGGCTCCAGGAAGGAGCAGGGCTTGGCACAGGCACTGGGGAGCCATGGCTGGCTTGAGAGCCCCCCTTGGGTCGTAAAGGAATTGGTTCTGGGCTTCCACCCCTGCCTGGTCACGTGTGCAAAATTTTTCTGTTGTGCGGCTCTGTCCTCTGGGTGATCAGATGCCCAAAAGCCCCCCACTCGGGACTGTTTTTTTCCCCTAGGAGTTGTCAGCCAGGCTGCTATCTATCCACAGTGACCAGGCACGGATTGTGGTGACCTTTAAGACTTTCGAGGAAATCTGGAAGTTCTCCACCTACCACGCTCTTGGTAAAGTGGGGCCCCTCCCAGAGCAGTTGTGGGAACTCTGCTCAGAGGACACTTGTCACACACTGACCAGGCACTTACTGTAGTAAATCGGGCCTCAGCCAGGGATGGCTCACAGGGAGCAGCGGGATGCGGGAGTCAGTGCACACCCGCTCTTGGGGAGCGATGGTGTGACGGGAGGCGGGGCACAGAATCTGTGCCAGAAGGTGGGCCGCCTTCCGAGTCCTTCCCGGGCTGAGCTGGGTGCAGGGCTTTGCATAGCCAGACCCCGAGGGAGGCTGAGCTCAGACCCGCTGAGCACAGACAAGGTGGTTTTCAGCCCAGACAGAGAGCTTTCTTTCTAAAGCAGTCCCGTCCGTTGGGCGGCGTCTGTGGGGTCTGGCTGCGTCCTCTGGGGAACTGCTCCAATACCTCGGTCCCAGGCTGGGAGACTGGAAAATAAGAGTGACAGTGTCTTGAGGGTCTTGTGCTGGGCCCATGCCAACCCCCGGCGCATGTGCTCGCCTTGAATGCTCCTGTCCCATCTTATGAGTGAGGAGACTGAGGGTCATTCAGGTGACTTGTCCTTGTCCACATTCGCCAGGATGCAGGGAAGTCCAGGCTGTCTCCCATGGTCACACATAGCCCTGATGGTCAGACCTGGGGCCTGTCTGGGTTGTAGATGTCCCGTGAGTCCCCGAGGCAGAACAGGGCTCCCCAAGCCTTGCTTTGGAGCCCGCTGGTGACCTGGCCCATCTGGCCCCCAGGCTTCACTCATCACTGCCTAGAAAACCTGCTCGTGGACCAGGCCTTCTGGCTGCTCTCACCTAGTGAGGACGAGGAGACAGCTGTCCGTGTCCACGTGGACCAGGAGGCCTTGATACGGACGCACGAGAGCCTCCTCGCCCAGGAAGGTGAGCCGCCGCGTGGAAACGGAGACATCGGCTGGCTCCACGCTCTGTGGGGGATGCCCGGTGGGGGAGGGCCCTGGAGGCTGTGGCACACCTGGGGAGACTGATGGGGCCTCATGCAGGGAGAAGTAAGTATGGGCGACCCAGGCCCTGTCACTCTGCTGTGACGACCTGATCAGGCCCCCGGGGCATAATAGTGAAAGTGCTTCTGAAGAGGCATGCCCACCCCGAGGTCCTGACCTGAAACTGCTTTGAGTGCCAGCCAAGGTGGCCTCATCCTTGGGTGTGATTCAGCAGCAGACGGAGCCCAGAGCTGCCTGTCTTAGCCTGGCCTCAGGAGGAGTGGAGGCCAGGCTCCCAGCAGAGGTTCCCACACACAGGACCCCTGAGATCGCAGGTTGGGCCTTCAGATGGGGAAACTGAGGCCCTGAGGGTCTGAGGCTGGGGGAGGCGCACGGAGCAGGTCTGAGCAGAGCCTGGGGCCGGGGAGACCCAGCAGGGCTGCCTTCACATATGTCACCTGGCAGGATGGGCGGGTCCCACCTGGAGGACTGTCCAGCCACACTGAAGGACGCTCTCTGTCCCTCTAAAGGTCCTTTCTTTGTCTTGTGTCCTGACCACCGTGTGCGGGTGAAGACCAGCCCCCAGGGTGCAGGGAGCGGCCCCCAGGCACTCAGGCGAGCCTCGAGGGTTCTCCAGGGAGAGGCAGCCCCAGCAGTGGACCCTTCTGCTCCTGGCTCCGGCACGTCCTCTGAGGACATGGCAGCGGCAGCCGCTCCAGAAACTTTGATTCCATTTCATCAGTAGGTACCAACCTTTGTTTCTCTGCTTCCTGCCCATCCCACGGGTTGTTGGCTCATGGAGACCCACGTGTGCTCCTGTTCTGTGGCTCCTAGTGTGTGGCCGTGGGCTCCCACCTGCATGAGGAGGCTGTCATTCCCGGATGGAGCTGTGCGGGCAGGAGGGTACCATACAGAGCTCTTGCTTCACGTTCTGGCTCATTATTATTATTTTTCTCAGTAGTAGGCTTCATGCCCAGCATGGAGCCCCACATGGGGCTTGAACTCATGACCCTGAGATCAAGCCCTGAGCTGAAATCCAGAGCTAGACGCTTAGCCCTTTGGAGCCCCCCAGGTGTCCCCCCTCTGGCTTGTTCTGGAAAGCTTCTGAGGGAGCTAGCTGCGTAATGTGTACCCATAGCCAGGAGGCAACAAGGCAGATAGTCTGGGGAAGGTGAGGACGGGTAGCACAGACACTCCTCACATGCTGAATGTGGGGTGTTAACAGGGCTTGGAGCTTCCTGGCAGCCAAAGCAAAGAGAGAAATTCAATGACCTGACATTCAGAAGCTGAGAACTAACAGGCAGTGGCTCAGCTCCTGTCCTGGTGAATGGAGGGAGGGCTCCCAGAATGCCAGCCCGGGGTGGGCAGGAGGCACCTGAGTGGGGCAGCACAGGGGTCCCTGCAGGTTGTGCTGCATGCATGGGCCTGAAGTGTGTGTGTGTGTTTAATTGGCCAGGTAGTGGAATTTGCTCGGGTCCCTGGGGGCTGCTGACCTGTCCAGTCGACACAGTTTGTTTGAACTTTCCCTAAAATCCTTTCTTGTCCCACTCCAGGTGGGCTCTTAGGGTCCCCTGGGACCCCATCGACGACTCTGTGAGTGGACCTGTGACATCAGATATCCCACTGATGGGTAAATGCTTTCACTGGCCTTTCTCCCCTGGGAAAAGGGGTGGGCGACTTGGGGCAGGCACCAGCATTCTGGAAGCTTCTGTGTTCACCCTGAATCCTCCATAAGCTGGAGGAGGTGGTTAGACTCCCGTCCAGTTGGTGCTGCAATAGCTAAGGCTCAGAGAGATCCCACGGGCTGGTCCAAATTCATGTTACATGGTACGATGAAGCCAGGGCAGGTCCCCGGCTTGCTTCTTAGGTCTTCTCTTGAAAAGACAGCATGGGGTCGCCTGGGTGGCTCAGTTGGTTAAGCGGCTGCCTTCGGCTCAGGTCATGATCCCGGCGTCCTGGGATCGAGTCCCACATTGGGCTCCTTGCTCGGCGGGGAGCCTGCTTCTCCCTCTGCCTCTGTCTGCCTGTGCTCGCTCGCTCTCTCTCCCTCTGTCTCTGACAAATAAATAAATAAAATCTTTAGAAAAAAAAAAAAAAGAAAAAAAAGAAAAGACAGCATGGGCCCTTGGCTTGGGCTCCTGGTCCAGTGCTCTCTGCTCTGCCCCAAGCTGACTGCTGCAGGGATGGCCTTGTATACCTGCTCAGTGAATATAATGCCCCATGGGAGAGGGACCTGCGCTTACTGCATCTGCCCTGCGGGGTTTCCTGGCCTGACCTTGCCAGCATAGGACAGAGGAGAGATCCCTGGCCGTGGTGGGGCGGGGAGACACCCCTGGGCCTCAGTTTCTCTTTCTCAGTGTAGGGATCAAGTGCCCCCTCCAGGGACCACTAGAGGCTCAGCCCCTTGGGTGCAGAGGCCACGGTTCATCGCAGCCTTGATCCCCCATTCCTGGGAGAGAGCCCCCGGGGTCTGCCCCCAGTGCTGACCGTGTGACCTCCCCTCCCCTTACGCCCCACCCCCCGCAGCCACAGGCCTGGCCACGGCGGTGGCAGACTACCAGGGCTCCGGGCCTGAAGAAGTGACCTTCTGCGGCGGCGACGTCATTGAGGTCCTGGGCGCCCAGGTGCCCGGCCTGCCCTGGTGCCTGGGCCGGCACGGGGCCTCGGGCCAGGTCGGGTTTGTGCAGACGAGTCTCATCAGTGTGCAGGGCCAAGTATCTGAGTGAGTAGCTGAGGCCCTGCCCCTCCTAAGCCCACCCTTGTGCCCTAGTGGGGGGCTGCCGCCCTTGCCCCCTTGGCTGATGCCCTGGTGACAAACCTGGATGTGGTCCTAGATGGCGTTCTCTTCCCTGCCCTCCCCCCGCCGCGGTCCAGGCGCGGTTCGCTTGTGCCCGGAGCTGGCGTCAGCTTCCTGTCTGGACCCCCGTGTCCTTCACCATGTGAGCCAGGCAGGGGCTGTTCCCTGAAGTCGAGTGTGGTCCCGGGGCCGCCGTGACTGTCAGGGGCTGAGAAAGCAGAGGGCTCTTCTGTCCCAGTTCTCTGCTCCATCCTCCTGTGCCCCCCACCCCCGCCATGGGTCTTCCTAGAAGGACATGAGGCACTGGGTCAGGGCCCACCTCCTCCGGTGTGACCTCATCCTAGCTAATTGCACCTGCAAAGACCCTTTACTGAATTCTGCATGTCCCCACTGTGTGGCCCCGGGCAGCAGCAGGGGCGTCCTGGAGAGCGGTCCACGAGCACCGCTGTGCCCCTCTGTGGTGCCTTCCTGCTCCCTTGGCCTTGAGCTGCTGTGGTGAAGGCCTCAGACGGGGAGCCTGGCTGGCAGTCCACGGGGACTCCCAGCGCCAGGAAGGTGCGGCGAAGTCTGACGTCCTCTCCCTGTTGGAATGTGTTTCTGCACTAACTTGACCTTCAGGACCCTCTCTTTCCCAGCCCTCGTAGCTGGCGTTCCTTGGAATGCTGCCTGGGGACCCTGGGTCTAGACGATTCCCGTCACGTCTCTGGGCTGGGGTGGGGGGGGCACAACTTCTGCACTGACGGCTGGGCTCTGCATGGCTTAAACCCGCCCTGACCTTGCCCGGGCACTGAGCTGGGTGAGTTTGTCTGTCCCCTCCCTAACTGCAGGTGATGGGGCCGGTGGAGAGCCGCTAATGACCCCCTGGTTCGCTCAGCACGTGTTGACAGAATACCCATCCTATCTATTCCAGACCCTGCGTTTTCATCCTTTGTTTAGTGAGCAAACTGGTGGCCGAACTTTTCCCCGACTCTCATGCATTATTTCAGACTTAGGGTAAAGTTGCAAAGAGGGCAGGGAATTCCTGTCATCTGTCACCCAGATTGCCCAGATGTGAGTGTGTTAATGACAGTTTTCCCCATTTCCTTGCGTATGAGCCCCACGCAAGTTGGCTCTAACATGCTGCCTCTTTTCCCGGCGAGTGGGGTGGCATATCCCCGACACTGGGGCGCTCTGCTGCGTCCCCACAATCGGGAGATGACCCTGCTGCAGAGCTGCTCTGTGCGGACCACGCTCAGATTGTGCCAGCATCCCAGTCCTTGCCCTCTAAACCCAGAGAAAGTTCCAGACCACGTGGCACCAGGCTCTCCTGAATCCGAGAAAGGTCCTTTATCTCCTTGTCCTTCGGGACACCCGCCCCTGAGGAATACAGGCCTGGTGTTTGGTTGGGTGTTCAGACGCTGCTATGAGATTTTCTGCAGCGTCTCAAAATAGCTCCTTCCAGTTTCAAAGTGCTTTTCAGAGTTTCATATTATGCTGCTAATTTAGTCCTATAAGGTGCAGATCGCCTGTTCCTTCTCTCCTTGCTCTGCGTCCCGTTTTCCGTCTCCCCAACTTGGAGCAGGCTCGTGCCTGGTGTTCCTGTGGGGTGCTCTAGGGAGCACCCACACAGGCCGTAATTGGAGCCGCAGGAGCTCAGGATGGGAAGGGACTGATTCTGTCCCCAGCTGTCAACCACCCGCCTGGCAGGGGAAGGGGCACTTGAAGTGGGGCTTTGCAGGCTGCCTAGAAGCTCACTAGAGAGTGCAAATGGGTCTTCCTTAGGAAATGTGCCATTTTAAATAAAGCGCCTTCTCTTTTTCCAGTCTGGAAAATGGGATTTTCCTGAATGAGGAAGAAAGGTCATTCTTCAGCCACGAAGGGCGCTTTTCTGAGGAAGACGCCAAGCAGCTACTGAGGAGGGTTTCGGGTGTGGACGTCTGCACCATGTACAGCTTGGGTAGGTCACAAGACCTGCAGCCAGCCGCCCCCTCCAGCCAGGTGCCCAGGTCGGTTTCTGTGGGAAGATGCCCAGAAGGACAGGGGAGGGTTTGGAGCCGGGCCACTTTCCCACAGGGCCGCACTGGCTGGTGGCCTCCAGCCCTAGCTCCCCAGCCCCAGATACGGACGTCCGTCCCCCTGTCTCCTCAGTGGAGTGGGATTGTCCTGGCTTCCGTGCACTGCTCACGGTAACCCCCCCCCCGTTCCCTTTCCAGGAGGCCCGGCTTCCTCCGTTGGTCCATAGAGTGCATGAATGCCAACCTCTGGGCACTTGAAAGTGACCAACAGATGCTCTTGCTGCCCGTGGGGCTTCTGGGGCAGTAGACAGGCCAGGCACAGAGAGGGGGACAGAGAAAGGGGCCCGGAGATGCCTCCAAGTGACCCTGAGGCTCCTTGCTGCCCGAGGAGCACTGGCCTAGGAGCTACTATCCCCCTGCGGGGGCGGGGGGTTGGCACGCAGGCCTGGGGCTGGCCCACTGCCCACAGGCCTCCCCTCCCATGGTCTGTGTGGGAGCGATTATTCTCCCATCGCAACAGGGCAGGCCTGGGCTCGTATGGCTGGGGTCTGGCAGGGTCGCCTGACCTCTCAGGGGACCAGGGCTGGACCCCAGGGCTGCCACCCCTTAAAGATAATGCTTCTCCCTTTCACCACACCACCCTGTCCTCAGGGGAGCCACGGCCGTGGGTGAGGTGGGGAGCACGTCAGCAACAACAGGGGGAATGGCGCTGGAGCAGACTTGCTGGTCGATGGCCGGCACATTGTGGTAGCCGGTTCCTTCATCCCGCAGATGGAGGGGCGTACACGTGTGCGCGCACACACACACACACACACACACACCCCTACACATCACGTGTGCAAACACGCACACACATCACACACCTGTCCACCGTGCATGCATATCCATGCACACACCCACACAGCATGTATGCAAACACGTGTGCACATGCCTGCACGTCACACACATGCACACATACATCTACACATCATACACGCACACACCACACCTCTATGCCATGCATGCACATACATGCACATACATGTGCAAACACACACGTGTACACACATACCACACACATCGCACTGCACATTTGCACACATACTTCTCACGGTCTGCATGCTGACATGCGCCGTGGGAACTTCTCCACCAGCAGCCGAGTTAACCTTTCTGGGTTCCCACGGACTGGTTTCTCTTCCTCGAAAGGCAAACTCATATCTCAGCTGAGCATGTAAGGCCGGCATAAGATGTCTTCTTTTGTCAGGAAGGCTGTTGGCACCAGTCAGTTGGTGGGGAGGGGGGTGCACTGGGGGAGAGAATCTTTTCTGCAGGGGGCCGTGGAGCTTCCCGTGAGCATGCACATTTGTCATAGCTGATGTCACACTTCATAGGACGTTTCCCAGCCAGCTGCTAGCATCAGCCCATTTTCAGGAGGTGGAAAACGAGGCTTTGGGAAGGCCTGGCCCTGGCACGAGGAGGATGGGGATGTAGGTGGAGCTCCCCCGGTTCCTAGGGAGAGCCCGTGAGGCTGAGGGCTGCCTGTGATGGGGAGCACGCCCCTGTTCCCAGAGCAGTGGCCGCAGAAGCACGTGGTCTCGGGGGAGGGTAGGGGCAGGCAGAGCCTGCTAGTTGGGGATTCTCATCCCCTCGACCAGGGGAGGCCCCAGACCCACAGCCTCTTAGGCTGCTGCAGTGTTCCTGTCCCAGAGTCACCGCTTCCTCCCGACATGGCCTCTCCTGAGGTGCTGGCCGAGGGTGACGCTTCTCTTCTCTCCCATTTCAGACAGATTAGAAGAAGCCGAGTTTGAACAGCTGGGAGATCAAGGTAAGTTCTTCCCACAGGGCAGAGTCCTGTGTCCCAATGGGGATGGGGCAGAGCCTCGCGGAATGATGAAGGCAGAGATGCAGATCTGGGTTCGAATGGGGTGCTGGGCAGGGACCTCACACCTCTGTGGGGGAGGATGGTCAGGTGGGGCATCCCCTCCATTGCCTGAGCCAATGCCTGACCGGGGGTTCCTTTCTTGAAACCTAGACCAGCTGAAATCTGTTTGGAGAGGGTAAGGGGTGTAGGGCCTGGATTTGGAGATTTGAGCTGCAGAAACCCCTCTAGGACCTGACTCTTCTTTCCCTGGGAGCTGGTTAAGGGAGACCCCCCTCCTCCCTCCACACCTCCATCTCATCCCCCTCCTCCCCCAGACGGTCTGATCAGCGAGATCCTGGGAACTTGAATGCCCGAGGCCCCACTGGGGTTCCCTGGGCATGGGGTCCACTGAGATGGAAACAGGGAAGGGCCACTTTGGGTACTGGACAAGGAAGGTTCTGGATATTCCTGGGCTGCTCCTGGCACCCCTTGCATCTGGGGGCTTACTGAGTGAGGGGAGGCAGGACCTGGTGGCATTGAAGGGGCTGGGGTCTCGTTCACAGCCACACATTAGGTAGTTGGGTCAGACATTTGCCCCTGAACCACACTGAATTCTTTCTTACTCATTTAGTTCTATTTTATTCATTCAGTTCTATTTTAACTAAGATAATTAATTCTGAACATACTTTTTGCAAGTGAACTTGAAAGAGAAGAGTGTGTCGATGCTGGTTCCTTCTTCGCAAACACACTCCCCTTTAAGCTCGTGTTTTCGCAGCAGGAAGCTTAGCTCTGCACTCCTGGACCCTAGAAATGCCTCCGGGCACTGGCTCCATCCAGGGCCACCAGTCCAGTTGGCGGGCACTCGGGGCAGCGGGTATCCCCAGATTCTCCAGCACCTCGTCCCTTTAGTAGCTGTGGGCCTCCTGTTCTCAAACCAGCCAGGGGGAACACTGGGGTGTCTGGGAGCCATTCCTCAACTTTTCTGCCAGACATGGTCCCAGGCGCCAGCGGGACAGAGGAACACAGATGTCGCTGTCCTCCAGCGGTATGGGTTTCATCCGTTCTGTGGTTGGCTTTTGAACACGTGCTGACCCATTGCTCTGACTGGCTGGTAATGATTACATGGGGGTCCTGCACCTGACACAGTCACCCCCCAAGCACTGGGAAGTCCCTCAGAGGCAGCTGTAGCTGGGAAGGTGGACATCTCTGTCCATTAAGTGGCTTTAATTCTTTCTGGAGGGAAAAGAACTCTCAGTCATCACTCAGAGTGCTTTCAAACGAGAAGCATAGGAAGGGGTTCACTGAGTGAAAAGCTTAGCCAGAGGGATCATTGTAACCATGACTGAGTTCCCACTGAGCACTGGGTGCTGGGCTCTGGGCTCAACCCTTCATGTAAATTTCGATTCCTGGGTAGGGGAGACTCAGGCAATACCTGATAGGGACCCTGAGGCTCGGAGGGCTGTCTCTACTCCAGCCTAGACCCAGATCAGACTCTAATCCATCTGGGGGTTTTGGTGCTTTGCAGAAATGCCTCTGCCTGGCCTGCACCCAGATCCATGTGAGACCCTCCAGAAGGTGAAGAATGTTCTAGAACAATGCAAGTCCAGCCAGGGCTGCCCCGAGGAGCCAGTGTCCTGGGGTCTGTGCATGGCGTCCAGTGGTATAGGCTCCCCGCACAGTGAGGAGCCCTCCTTCTGCTTGGACTCGGGGGCTGACTGGGCCCACCCAGAGGTGCTGGGCTCACTGCTGCTATTCCTGGACACGCCTGGGTATGAGGCCTGCTTCCGTGGCCTATATGACCTTTCCCTGCCGGGGCTGAGCACCCTGTTCCCAGGCTTCACCGACGAGGAGGAGCTGGCCGAGCACCTGGCACAGGCCCGGGGGGCGGCCAAGAAGGCCGGCTTCCCCATGGCTCTGGCCAGGCTCTGCTTCCTCCTGGGGAGGCTGTGCGTGCGCAGGCTCAAGCTGTCCCAGGCCCGCGTGTACTTCGAGGAGGCCCTGGGGGCGCTGGGTGGCCACTTTGGCGACCTCTTCCTCGTGGTGGCCGTGTATGCCAACCTAGCCACTGTCCACCTGAAACAGAAGAACAGGGACAGGTGTGCGCAGGTGGTCCCCAAGGCCTTGGCCCTGCTCCTGGGCACGCCCAGCCACCTGTGCAGCACCGAGGCAGAGTCGCAGCTCCTCAGGCTCGCCCTGCGGCGGGCCATCCTCTGCCACAGCCCCAAGGCCGAGGCCCGGGCCTGCTTCCTGCTGGCCAAGCACCACGCCCGCCTCAAGCAGCTGGAGGAGGCCCTGCCCTTCCTGGAGAGGCTGCTACTGCTGCACGGGGCTGTGGGCGCCCCAGAGGCCGCGTGGCCCGTGGACGGCTACCTGATCCTGGCAGACATCTACGGCCGCCAGTGCCTGCCGCACCTGGCACTCGGCTGCGTCCGGGGGGCCTCGCTGCGGGCCCGGGGCTCACCGGGCAGCGCACTCCGGAGTGTGGACCTGGTCCTCCGAAACTCACCCAGGCTGCGCCGGCCGCCCGCCCAGACGGCACTCTACCTCAGGCAGGCGCTGGCCTCCGTGGCCCCCAGCCCGAGCGGGGCGCTGCGTGGCCTGCTCTGTGCCAGTCTGGCCCAGCTGCACAGCTGCCACGGGCAGCAGGCCACAGCCATCTCCTTCATGATGCAGGCCGTGGACGTGGCCATGGGGTCCGGCAGCCACCTGGCCGTGGACTACATAGTGGCGCTGGCCTGGCTGTATGTGCTTTGTGGCCAGAGCATGGTGGCCCTGGACATCCTTGAGTCCATCCTGGACATGGCCGTGGCCAACGTGGACCAGGAGGGCGTGATCGCTAACATGGTGGCTGTGGCCCTGCGGAGGACAGGCAGCACCCGGCAGGCGGCTGAGGGCTACTACCGTGCCCTGCAGGTGGCCCGGGCCCGGGGCCAGCTGCAGAACCAGGCGGTGGTCCTAGCCAACTTCGGGGCCCTGTGCCTGCAGGCTGGCGCAGAGGTCCTGGCCCAGCACTACCACCGGGAATCTGTGACGCTGTTTGCGCGGCTGCCCAGCAGAGAGTGCGGCCCGGACCTCACCTGGGTGCTTCTGCAGCTGGGCCACCTGTACACCCGCCGGGCCCTCGCCCGGCAGGCCAAGTGCTGCTACGAGTGGGCCTTCCTGGTCGCTGTGGAGACGGACCACGTAGAGGGTAAGTGTCCGCCACACCTGGCTCCTGGCCCCATGCGTCCCCAGGTCCTGACTGCGCATGCAAGTGTCCTGGGAGATAACGTGTTTTCTTCCCATTGCTGCCTGGAGCACATCCACCCGGGGTTTGTGACCCAGAGGCAAGCGGTGGTTTTTCCACCATCCAGGGTGTTGAATGATGGAAACCTGCAGATGTTTGCGGCTGCTGTGAGGCTGACTGGGCAGCGGCTCTCAGAGTATGCCAGGCTCCGTGCCAGCTCTGCCAGAAGGGGCACCCACATGGGCTGGTGGCTAAGTGTGGGAACACGATGCCCAGGTCACATGAGGCACAAGTTGGGGGTACTCCCTGTGATTATGGGAGGCTCCTGGCGCTGGCTCTGGGACCTGAGGGTTGAGCCATACGTGGGGTGGAGGGCAGGCAGAAGGTGCCATCTCTGCAAAGGCCCTGGGGTGAGTAGGCTGGGCCATGCAGGGAAATGCAGTGTTTGGGATGGGTGTGTTGTATGGTGGGTAACGGAAACCTTGGCTGAGGGTTAGGCAGGGGCTAGGGAACCCAGACTGTGGCCTGGAATTTTCCCCAAGAGCACTGGGGAGCCATTGAGGGATACAAGACTCTCACTGAACCTGGAAGGGGACCCTCTGGACCTAGGAGGAACCAAGAGCTGGGTCCCCAGATGTGCCCTGCAGCCTCAGGCAGGTCCTGGCTGTGCTCACAAGGCTTCTGTCCCCCACCCCCCATGCTGAACCTCGGGGACACTGAGAGTCACGCTGAATCCTCTGTGAGCTGGTTTCAGTAGCCTGTCTCTCCCCAGGCTTGTCTGTTTTATCGAGGTTGACCTTTGTCAGCATCGATCGCCCATCTCTTCTGTGATCCTTTCATTTCTGTAAGATTGGTGCTGAGGTCCCCCTTTCGCTGCTGATTCTAACAATTGACAGCTTTACTTCTGGTCTGGCTAAAGAGGAGTCCACTTTGCCCATCTTCCCAAAGATTCATCACTCAGTTTCTTTCATTTTCTCTCGGTTTTTCTATTCTCCCTGTTACTAATTTATCTTTGCTCTGGAGCCTCTGTTGTTCCTTCCTTTTGGGTCTAGTTACCTCCTCTTTTTCTTGTTCCCTAAGGTGGACATTTTTTATCTGAAATTTTTCTTTTTCTTCCTTTTTAACATAGGCATTTATAGCTATAAAGTCCCTTTAAACGCTGCCATCCTGCGTCCTGTAAGTTTGGGTACGTTGTCCTTTTATCTCCACTCATGTCCAAAACCCTTCGATTCCTGTTGTGATGCCTTCCGCCGGCTGCAGGCTGTCCAGGAGCCCATTCTTCGTGCCCGCCTATTATGGAATTTCCCGAACTTTCTTCCTACTGATTCCTAGTCTCATTCCATGCTTTTTATAAGACGTCTGTCCCCTCACAAGTCTTGAGAGTGGGGCTGGGATCCGGACAACAGGACGCACAAGATCGCATGGCCACGGGGTTGTTCTGGTCATCTGTGTCCTCTTTGATGTCTGGATCGGTTTAATTGGGAAAGTGCTTGACCGTTCTCAGCCCCCGCTTCAGGCAAGGCAAGGAAGGCTGTGGGCTTGGATCCTGGCTTTGTGAAGGAGCTGGAAGCCGGGTCAGAGTCCCGGCCCTGCCATGTGCTGTGTGCCCCAGACTCGGAACTCTGCTTCGGACTCCGTGTGCCCACCTGCTGCACGGGGAGGCCAGTGATCCCTGCCCGGTCAGCATGGTGTGAAGACAGCCCCTGTCTGTCCAGGAGGGTTTTGGGAAGCAGAGAAAGGCAGGCCAGGACCCCCAGGCCTAAGAATTGTAGAAGTGGTCAGCAATGTGTCTATGGCATGTCCTGCCCAGGTTTATCACAGTGTGCGACCTTGAGCAGGTGGCCTCGCATGTCTGGACTCAGATTCCCCGTCTGCCGTGACCCCAGCTGGAGGTGCAGAAGGAGCAGGCACAGAGCAGGGGCCTTTGAGCTCAGCAAACATCCCATGTCACTGCAGTGTGGGACGGTGATGTCCTCTTCCTGTCTCCCCCGCCTAGGCCAGCTGCGAGCCGTCCAGCGGCTGTGTCATTTCTATAGGACCGTCATGCCCAGAGAGGCCCAGTGCGTCGTCTACCATGAGTTCCAGCTCTCGCTGGCCCGCAGGATGGCCGACAAGGTGCTGGAGGGCCAGCTCCTGGAGACCATCAGCCAGCTCTACCTGTCGCTGGGCACTGAGCGGTGAGGATGCCGGCCCCGATCCTGGGGCAGCCTCTCCTCGGGGACCGTTTCATTCCTAGTGTCAGGCTGTGAGCCAGTAGGCCTTGGGGGTCATCATGTCTCACAGGTCCCGGGACAGGTGTCTCTGCCCACACACCTCCTGACCTCCCGGTGGAGGAAGAGTGAATTTCTGGGCCATTCTTCACATCCTGGTGGCTTTTATAAGCCGACTGCTGCCTGCCCTGAGTCTCCTCTGGCCAGCACAGCTCTGAGCCGGGCAGCCTGTCCCCAGCAGTCCCCCCAGATGTCAGGATGGTGGCCATGTGGACCTGAAGGAATCTTACCCCTGAAGAGGTAGCTGGCTGGCCCACCTGCTTCCTGTGGGCAGAGTTCCAGGGTCACGTGTCCTGCGTGACACCCACACTGAGCATCCTGAGCAGGTGGGGTGACAGGATGGCCCGGGGAGACCTCTGACCATACCCCCTGCAGCTGGGGACTCCCTGAGAGGCAGGGAAGGAGCCACAGGCTGATCTCGGCCTCCACCCCACACCCTTGGGCCTCAGTTTCATGACAGATCTAATGGACAGTGACCTTGATCGAGAAGTCTCAAAGCGGAGTCGCCGGACCAGCAGCAGCTGCATCCCTGGGGAGTCTCCTGAGAATGCACCTTCTCAGGCCCCAGCCCAGACCCACTGAGAGCAGGGCCCTACTATCATGGCCAAGTGTGAGAACCACTGGCCAGATGTTTGCGGAGTCTCTGCCTGGCGCTCAGGGTCCCAGCTATGGGCGGAGAGCTCGCATGCCCGTGTCTAGGGAGGGGGGTGCAGACACAGGGTGGCCCGCTCCCCCTCCCTATGCCCTGCAGAGAGCCTGGTCCCCACTCAGGCACTGGGAGGAGCCGCCCTGGCCTGGGAGAGTTCTCTGAGCGGCTGGCTCTGCTTCCAGGGCCTACAAGTCCGCGCTGGACTACACCAAGCGCAGTCTGGGGATCTTCATTGACCTGCAGAGGAAGGAGAAGGAGGCGCATGCCTGGCTGCAGGCAGGGAAGATCTACTACATCCTCCAGCAGAATGAGCTGGTGGACCTCTACATCCAGGTGCAGGGGCGGGGCGTGCGCTCACTCACCCTCCATCCCCGATCCACTGCGGGCACCCGCTGTGTGCCAGCCCGCCTCTGCCATCCCCGCCCTGGGCCCCCAGCGCCCAGCATCTTCCACAACAATCCCAGCCCCCATCTGCGTGCCCGCCACCATGTTGGTATACAGCAGGTGCTTCCTACATGCACAAGTGATGCGTTCCCTCGACTGAACACAGCCTTCAGCAGCATGTGGCCTGTCTTCTTAAAAAATGCGTTTATCACGGGAGCTCTGTTTCCAGCCGCGTTCCCAAACGTGACATGATTTGAAGTAAACTGGGAGGCTCGTGAGGCTCATGAATGTTTTCATTTTTGAGCACCTGTTGTGTATTTCCCTGGGCCAGGGGTCCAGGATCGCAGGTCAGCAGATGGCGGCTGAGAGGGGGTGGCAGTTTTGACAGCTTGTGGCTCGGGGCTTTGGGCAGGGGTGTGGTGGTGCAGACAGGAGCCACAGGGAGGGTGAGCAGAGGCTGCTTTCTGTAGCAGGATAAGTGGGGCTAGTGCCCACCTGGGAGGAGGGGCTCCCAGTGGTGGAAAACACAGGGGCAAAGGCCAGACGTGCATGGGAGTGTGGCAGGTCTGGATTGCCCACGGCGCCTAGTCCACTCTTGTCTGCTCACATGGTGTTTGCTGAGTACCTTGCTGGGCCCAGCAGAGAAGCAACATCCTGAGCAAGGGGGGGTGACAGAATGGGAGAGACAGGAGGTGTGTGCGGGCAGGTGTTGCCATGGGCAGTGGAAGAAGATAGTAGAGGGGAAGCTGGAAGGGAGCATGCCAGGGTCTGGGAGCGGTTGACAGGACTCAGAGCCCCCTCTGAGCTCAGTCGCAGAGTCCCAGACTCAGAGCCCCAGCTGGATGGTGCTCCCCCAGGATATCGTGGGAGCTGATGTCTCCAGCTGCACAGGGTCTGGAACCAGGCCAGTCCCCGCTGAGGGACAGAGATGTGAGAGGGGAAAGAGATACCCAGTGCATCCTCGGGATGCCCTTGAGGGTCTGGGGGCAGCTGGGGAGGCTGTGAGCTTGCGACAGAGCACTATGGTCTCATGAGAGTTTCTCCATGCCCACAGGTGGCACAGAATGCGGCCCTGTACACGGGGGACCCCAACCTGGGGCTGGAGTTGTTTGAGGCAGCCGGGGACATCTTCTTCAATGGGACCTGGGAGCGGGAGAAAGCCGTGTCCTTCTACCGGGTGAGCTGGGTGATGAGGGCGGGCTGCGGCATGGCCCCACACAGGCCGGGGCCTAGGAGTGGGTCTTCATTTCTGGGTGCCTTCACCTGGGGTGATCTTGACCCCCCACCCCCAACCTGGGAGGGACAGAGAAAGGAGGGACCATCTGAGGGACAGACACAGCTCTAGGCTTCCAAGCCCTCAAATAGCTGGGAGGCGAGCCCTGCTCCATCTTGCCGATGAGGAAGTCGAAGCTAAGGGAGGCACAGGACAGCACGTCAGTGGGGGGACTGGCCCCAGGGCTCTGAACTGTAGGAGCCTCCCAAAGAGGCCAGCTTCTCCCTACCCGCCCAGCTCCTGACGTGCAGCTCTGCCCTGGGGACAGAAAAACGCGTTTTTAGATCTCGGTAGGGGGTGGGTGTTGGATCCTCCCAGTCAGACTCTCATCGCCCAGGGGTGGGGAGCTGGGCTGAGGTTCCCAAGATGGGCCGTGGGTCGCACCACAGCTTGCTCATGGCCCAGTAGCCCTGTGGCCATCAGGGCCACTCCAAGCTGACTTTTCCCCAGGGACCGGAGCTGAATAAGATGCAGCAGGATGATGGGGTGGGAGCTCCCTTTGCACGTCTGGGACTCTGGGGATTCTGGGCTGGAGCTGGCTGCTGCAGGTGAGGCCTGACCCGCTGCCTGTGTGGCAGGATCGGGCGCTGCCGCTGGCCGGGACCACGGGGAACCAGGAGGCGGAACTGCGGCTCTGCAACAAGCTGGTGGCCCTGCTGGCTGAGCTGGAGTTGCCCCACGAGGGCCTGGAGTTTGCCCACATGGCCCTGGCGCTCAGCATCACCCGGGGTGAGCCCTGCATCCCTGCCCCAGCGGGGCCTTGGCCTCCGACCCCTGCAGGGTGGGAGCAGAAGGGGACAGTTCGGGAAGCCTGTAGGGCTGCTTGGGGCTGTGGCCGTGCTCTCCCCTGCTGGGGGGCTGGGCTGAGCGGCCCCAAATCTGCCCCAGGGGGAAGCTTCAGGTTTCTCATGTGCGCCCTCTCCCCTGCGTCCCTAGGGGACCGGCTGAATGAGCGTGTGGCCTACCACCGGCTGGCCGTCCTGCACCAGCGGCTGGGCCACGGCGAGCTGGCGGAGCACTTCTACCTCAAGGCGCTGTCGCTGTGTGGCTCACCCCTGCAGTTCGATGAGGAAACCCTGTACTACGTGAAGGTGTATCTGGTTCTTGGTGACATCCTCTTCTACGACCTGAAGGTGGGTGGGGGCCGGGGGGTAGGCTTAGGCACTGGGGTCCCTCTTGGCATGGGCTCGAGCCCAGACCCCGAGGACAGGGTCCTGCCCTCCAGTAGTGCTGGCCCCGGTGTGTCCCTGAGCTCCTGGCAAGGCGGAGAGGAGCAGGCACGGTCAGCAGACACTGTCCGAACTCGCGTACCGGCCAGGCCCTGCCCTCCAGAGTTCAGGGTCCCTGGGGTGCTGATCTGTGAACAGACTTTGGCCACCATGGGGTCAAAACAAAAAGGCATGTAATCAGGGGAGCTTCCTGGAGGAGGCAATGCAAAGCTGAGTCTTAGCATCAAGTCAGAGTTAATCCCCCTAAAGCAGGAGGGAGAGAGGGACATCCCAGGGCGTCGGGCAGAAGTCAGTGCTATCCCCAGAGACCCACGCTGTAAGGTGCTACCCAAATCCTGGCACCTCCTCCAGGAAGCCTGCCCTTAGGGCAGAGCAATTCCTTCTTGGAATCCTGAATCCCAGAGAGGGAAACGGGCTGGGGATGGGGTGCAACCTGTGGGGTTTGGCTTAGTTCCTGCCCTGTCAGAGCTGGAGGAGCTGGAGCTGGGCCCTTTCCCATCTGCTCCTAGCCCTGCAGTGGATGTAGACCAGAGCCTGGAGGCGTCTCCCTCGCTCCCCTACACAGGCTGCTGCCCTATCGCCCCACCCTGGGTACAGCACTGCACTGCACAGTGTCCCTGCTCCGTGTTCGCTGAAGTGGGGGCACCCCAGCTCAGGGCTTTTCCCCCTCCCCCTCCCTGCTGAATGGCATCGAGGAGCTGGGTGCCTTTGAAGACCCCACCCAGTTGGAGACCCATAACTCCCTGCCTGGGACAGCCTTGGCTATGCACTAGTGACACCTTGTGGTCAGAGGTGGTCACTGCGGCCTCCTGCTGTGTTAGAGTCCCGTAGTTCTTGGGGAGCCTGTGGGCAGTGGTGCGTACTGCAACTTAGACTCACTGCCTTCCAGTCTGCATGATTAAGGCTCTGTGACATCCAGGCTCTGTGTGATCCAGGCTTTGTGTGTTCAAGGCTCTGTGTGATCCAGGCTTTGTGTGTTCCAGGCTCTGTGCAATCCAAGCTCTAGTGATCCAGGCTCTGTGATCCAGGCTCTGTGCGATCCAGAATCTGTGATCCAAGCTCTGTGACATCCAGGCTCTGTGCCTTCTAGGCTCTGAGCTGTCCAGGCTCTTTATCATCCAGGCTTTCTGCGATTCAGATTCTGTGCAATTCAGATTCTGTGTGATCCAGCCTCTGTGACATCTGGGATCTGCGTGACCCAGGCTCTGTGTGGTCCAGGCTCTTTGTGAACCAGGATCTGTGGGGTCCAGACTCTGGAACATACAGCCTCTGGGACATCCAGGCTCTGTGAATCCAGATTCTGTGTGATCCAGGCTTTCTGCCATGCATGACCTGTGACATCCACATTCTGTGTGATCCAGGCTCTGTGACATCCATCTCTATGTGATCCAGGCTCTGTGTGATGCAGGCTATGTGTGATACAAGATCTATGTAACCCAAGCCCTGGGACATCCAGGAACTGTGTGGTCTGGGCTTTGTGTGATACAGGATCTGCTATATCCGGGCTCTCTGCAATAGAGGCTATGTGTCATCGGGTTCTGTGTGATCCAGGCTCTGTGATACATGGGTTTGTGTGATCCAGACTCTGTGCAATCAAGGCTCTGTGACATCAAGATTCTGTTATTTCCAGGCTTTCTGTGATACAAACTCTGTGACATACGGGCTCTAGGTGATCCACGTTCTGTGTGATCCAGGCTCTGTGCCATCCAGGTTCTATGTGATCCAGGTTCTAGGTGATTCAGGCTTTGAGTGATCCAGACTCTGTGATACAGATTCTGGGTGATTTAGGCTCTGTGTGATCCAGGCTCTGTGATATCTGGGCTCTGTATTATCCAGATTCTGTGTGAAGTAGTCTTTGTGACATGCAGGCTCTGTGTCATCCAGGCGCTGTGATGTCCGACTCTGTGATCCACAGCCTGAGTGATCCAGGCTCTGTAACATCCAGGGTCTGTAATATCCAAGCTATTTGTGATCCAGGCTTTGTGACATCCAGTCTCTGTGCAATGCAGTCTCTGTGACATCAAGGCTCAGTGTAACCCAGACTTTGTGACATCCAGGCTCTGTGACATCCAGGCTCTGTGACATCCTGGCTCTGTGTGATCCAGGTTCTGGGTGATTCAGGCTTTAAATGATCCAGACTGTGTGATGTAGATTCTGGGTGATTCAGTTTTTGGTGATTCAGGCTCTGTGTGATCCAGGCTCTGTGACATTAGGGATCTGTGTCATATAGGTTCTGTGTGATTCAGGCTCTGGGTGATTCAGGCTTTGGGTGATCTAGGCTTGATGTGATCCAGGCTCTGTGATATCCAAGCTGTGTATGAGGCAGGCTCTTTGTGATCTAGATTGTGTGTGATGCAGGCTCTGTGATATCCAGGCTCTCTGCAATCCCTTCTTCGTAATATCTTGGCTCTGTTTGATGTGGGCTCAGTGTGATCCAGGCTCTGTTTGATCCAGGATCTGTGAGATCCAGGCTCTGTGTGAATCAGGCTCTGTGCAAACCAGCATCTGTCCCAAATATACCCTGTGTCATCCAGGCTATGTGACAAATAGCCTCTTTGATTTCAGACTCTTAGTGATCTAAGTTCTGTGACAAGCAGGTACTGAGTGATCCAGTCTCTATGCAGTACAGTCTCTGTGAAATCCAGGCTCGGTGTGATGCCATCTTTGTGGCATGCAGGCTCTGTTCCATATAGGCTCTGTGTGATCCAGGCTCTGTGCCATCCAGGTTCTGTGTGTTTGAGGCTCTGGGTGACTCAGGCTTTGTTTGACCCAGGTTCTGCGTGATCCAGGCTCTGTTTGATCCAGGATCTGTGTGATCCAGGTTCTGGGTGGTTCAGACTTTGAGTGGTCCAGACTCTGTGATGGAGATTTTGGGTGATTCAGTCTCTGGTGATTCAGGATCTGTGTGATCCAGGCTCTGTGACATCAGGGATCTGTGACATTCAAGTTCTGTGTGATCCAGGATCTGGGTGATTCGGGCTTTGAGTGATGTAGTCTGTGTGATCTAGATACTGGGTGATTCAGTCTCTGGAGATTCAGGCTCTGTATGATCCAGACTCTGACATCAGGGTTCTGTGCCATCCATGTCTGTGTGATCCAGTCTCGGGTGATTTAGGCTCTGTGTGATCCAAGCTCTTTGACATCTGGGCTCTGTGTGATCCAGGCTTGGTGTCATCCAGGCTACAGGCTCTGTGTGGTCCAGGCTCCGACATCCAGGTTCTGTGTGACCAAGGCTCTGGGTGACTCAGGCTCTGTTTGATCCAGGTTTTGTGTGATCCAGGCTCTGGGTGATCCAGGCTTTGTGACATCCAAACTATGTATGAGGCAGGCTTTGTGATCCAGATTCTGTGTGACACAGGCTCTGTGATATCCAGGCTTTCTGTGACCCCCTTTTTGTGACATCTTGTCTCTGTTATATGTGGGCTCAGTAGATCCAGACTCTGTTTGATCAAGACTCTGTGATCCAGGCTCTGTGTAATCCAGGCTCTGTTCCATCCAGCTTCTGTGTGATCCGGAAATCTGGGTGGTTTAGGCTTTGGGTGATCTAGACTGTGTGATGTTGATTCTGGGTGATTCAGTCTTTAGTGGCCCAGGCTCTGTGTGATCCAAGCTCTGTGACATTGGGGATCTGTGCCATCCAGATTCTGTGTGATCCAGGATCTGGGTGATTCAGGCTTTGTGTGATCTAGGTTCTGTGTGAATCAGTCTCTGGGTTATTCAGGGTCTGTGTGATCCATGCTCTGTGGCATCTGGGCTCTGTGTGATCCAGCTTTTGTGTGATCCAGGCTCTGGGTGATTTAGGTTTTGGGTGATCCAGGCTCTTTGACATTCATGCTATATATTCAGCAGGCTCTGTGCCATCCAGATTCTGAGTGACTCAGGCAATGTGACATCCAGGCTCTCTGCGATCCCTTCTTTGTGACATCTTGGCTCCATCTGATGCAGGCTCAATGTGATCCAGGCTCTGTTTGATCTAGGCTCGGTGCAATCCAGGCTCTGTGTGAATCAGGCTCTGTTCAAACCAGTGTCAGTCTAAAACATGCTCTGTGCCCTCTAAGCTATGTGACAGCCAGCGTTTTTCATTTTGGACTCTTAGAGAACTAGGTTCTGTGACATGCAGGTACAGTGTGATCCAGGCTCTGTACAATCAGTGTGTGAATCAGGCTCTGTTCAAACCAGTGTCTGTCTCAAACATGCTCTGTGCCCTCTAGGCTATGTGACAACCAGCATTTTTCATTTTGGACTCTTAGTGAACTAGGTTCTGTGACATGCAGGTACAGTGTGATCCAGGCTCTGTAGAGTGTGTGATCCTGGCTCTGTGACATGCAGACTGTGTGTCATCCAGGATCGGTGACATCAGACTCTCTGTGATGCATGGTTTTAGTGCTCCATGAACTGTGACATCCAGAATCTGTTATATCTAGGCTGTTTGAATCCAGGGTTTGTGACATCCAGTCTTTGTGCGATACAGTCTCTGTGACATCCAGGCTCAATATGATCCAGATTTTGTGACATGCAGCTCTGTGACATCAGGCTCTTTGTGTTCCAGACTCTGTTCCATGCAGGTTCTGTGTGATCCAGGCTCTAGACCATCCAGGTTCTATGGGATTGAAGCTCCTGGTGACTGAGGCTGGTTTGATCCAGGCTCTGTGTGAATCAGGTTCTGTGCGAACCAGTATCTGTCCCAAACATGCCCTCTGTCATCCAGGCTATGTGACAAACAGCCTCTTTGATTTCAGACTCTTAGTGATCCAGGTTCTGTGACATACAGGCCCTGTGTCATCCAGGCTCTGTGACATCAGACTCTGTCCAATCCATGGCCTGAGTGATCCAGGCACTGTGACGTCCAGGGTCTGTTGATATCCAAGATATTTGTATCCAGGCTTGTGAAATCCAGTCCCTGTGTGATACAGTCTCTGTGACATCCAGGCTTTGTGTGATCCAGACTCTGTTCCATACAGGCTCTGTGTAATCCAGGTTCTATGCTACCCAGATTCTGTATGATTGACTCTGGGTGACGTAGGCTCTTTTTGATGCAGGTTCTGTGTGATCCAGGCTCTGGGTGATTCAGGCTTCGTGTTATCCAGATTGTGCGTGATTTAGGTGCTGGGAGATTCAGTCTCTGGGTGATTCAGGGTATGTGTGATCCAAGCTCTGTGAAATCTGGGCTCTCTGTGATTCCAGTTTTGTATGATTTAGGCTTTGGCTGATCCAGGCTCGATGTGATCCAGGTTTTATAACACCCAGGCTGTGTATGATGCAGGCTCTGTTTGATCCAGATTCCATGTGACCCAGGTTCTGTGATATCCAGGCTCTGTGCTGTCCCTTCTTTGTGACATCTTGGCTCTGTTTGATGCGAGCTCAGTGTCGTCCAGGCTTTGTATGATCTAGGCTCTGTGCGTTCCAAGCTCTGTGTGAATCAGGGACTGTGCAAACCAGGATTTGTCCCAAACATGCTCTGTGTCATCCAGGTTATGTGACAAATGGCCTCTTTGATTTCGGACTTTTAGTGATACAGGTCTGTGACATCATAGTCTGTGTGATTGAGACTTTGTATGATCCTGGCTCTTTAACATGCATACTCTGTGTCATCCAGGCGCTGTGACATCAGACTCTGAGTGATCCATGGCCTGAGTGATCCAGGCTCTGTGACTTCCAGGGTCTGTGATATCCAAGCTATTCATGATCCAGGCTTTGTGACATGCAGTCTCTGTACAATACAGTCTCTGTGATATCCAGGCTTGGTGTGATTCAGACTTTGTGACATCCAGGCTCTGCATGACCCAGGCTCTGTTCCATATAGGTTTTCTGTGTTCCAGGCTCTGTGCCATCCAAGTTCTGTGTGATCGAGGCTCTCTCTGGGTGACTCAGGCTCTATTTCATCCAGGTTCTGTGTGATCCAGGCTCTGGGTGATTCAGGATTTGAGTGATCCAGACTTTGTGTGATCTAGGCTCTGAGTTATTCAGTCTCCGGAGATTCAGGATCTGTGTGATCCGGGCTGTGTGACATGGAGGCTGTGTGTGATCCTGGTTCTGTGTGATCCAGGCTCTGGGTGATTCAGGGTTTGTGTGATCCAGACTGTGTGTGATCTAGGCTCTGGATGATTCAGTCTCTGTGTGATCCAAGCTCTGTGACATCCGGGCTCTTTGTGATGTATGTTCTGTTGCATCTCGACTCTGTGTGATCCAGGCTCTGTGTTTTCCAGGCTCTGTGCCATCTAGGTTCTCTGTGATCCTGGCTCTGTGACATATTGGCTCTGTGTGATCCAGGATCTGGGTGATTCAGGCTTGATGTGATCTAAGCCCTGGGTGATCCAGGCTCTTTGATGTCTAGACTCTGTGATCCAGGCTCTGTGTGATCCAGATGCTGTGTGACCCAGGGTCTGTGACATCCAGGCTCTGTGCAATCCCTTCTCTGTGACATCTTGACTCTGTTTGATCTGGTTTCAGTGACATCCAGGCTCTCTGCCATCCAGATTCTATGTGATCGTGGATCTAGGTGATTCAGGTTCTGGGTGATTCAGGCTCAGTGTGATCCAGGCTCTGTGTGATCTAGGCTGTGGGTGATTCAGGCTCTATGTGACCCATGCTCTGTTTGATCTGGGCTCCGTGTGATCCAGGCTCTGTGTGATCTAGGCTGTGGGTGATTCAGGCTCTATGTGACCCATGCTCTGTTCGATCTGGGCTCTTAATCTGGGATCCTGGAACCTACGACTCCCTCTGACCCAGGGGTGCTGCATGCTCCATGTCTTTGCCTGCTGTCCCAGGCTAGGCTCTGGGCTGGGCCTTTCCCCGAACAGGAGCTGCAGAGGCTGGGGTCTGGCATGACTGTGGCCCACCTCACCTGCACTCCTTATACCCAGAACCCGCAGTCATCTGTGATATGTCCTCCTGACCCATGGGTCATCTGAGGAAGGAACCACATAGAGATTAGAACGCCAGGTTCCGTGCGATTAATGACTAAGTAACTCTGCGGAAGAAGGGGGAACTGAGTCTGGGGAGGTGAATAAGCTTGTCCAAGATGGGGGTCAGGGAGCCAGGCCCAGAAGTACCTGACCTGATGCCCAGGTTCTGGGGGCATTCTGGGGACCTTAACCTTCCACGGTCTCACGGGGCAGGAAGGAAAGGTCCCTGGGCCCGGGAAGCTGGGGTCAAGGGGCTTCTCAGCTGTGCCGTGACCGCCATCAGCACCATGTCTGTCTTCACCGTGAGCCAGTCTTGGAATTCCACCAGGGGCTATGGGTTGACTTCATCGCCTCCAGCAGACACCCAGGAAGGAGAGAAGCTCTTTCCTGCACCCCTGTACGGAGAAGACATGCACACATATGTACACAAGTACACACCACTGCCCAGCTGCCTGCTGTGGCCAGTTCCTTTGTTGGGGTGTCCCCTCCTCCAGGAAGCCCTCCATTCTGCCCCAGGCTGACTCAGGAGCCTCCTGGTGCTCCCACAGGCCGCTGGTCACCCGGTGGTCAATGTCGCCCCAAGACTCAGCCACGGTTCCCGCCCTGCACAGGGTCCAGTGTCTGGTGGGGGATCGGGAGTGTTTGTCGAATCATGACGTATACCTGCTTTGATTTTCTCCTGAATCCTCTCTGTGCGGGGCAGCAAGGAGCCAGGGCTGCCAGCATTGGGCTTGTCCTCTGTTCCGGGAGCCATCTCAAGGGTTGGAGGGAAGGGTAGGGTCTGGGTTTCAGAGTGGTTCCTTGAGAGGGTCTGGGGTAGGCCAGCCAGGGAGGCAGGGCACAGAGTCGCACTCCCCCGCCCGCACCCAGCTGTGCATTAGTGTAGAGTGTGGCTAAACGCCTTCTCTCCTTCAGGACCCCTTCGACGCAGCCGGGTACTACCAGCTGGCGCTGGCAGCGGCTGTGGACCTGGGCAACAAGAAGGCCCAGATGAAGATCTACACGCGCCTGGCCGTCATCTACCACAACTTTCTGCTGGACCGAGAGAAGTCCCTCTTCTTCTACCAGAAGGCCAGGACCTTTGCTACTGAGCTCAATGTCCGCAGAGTCAACCTGGCCCCAGCACGGTGTTGGGGGCGGGCACCCTGGCTGGTCGCCGGCCCCCCACCCTGAGGTCCCTGTCTCCATGAGAGTGGGCTGCCTGCTTCTCCTAGTATCTCTGTGAGGCTCCTTTTCTGGGAAATGTAGGCACAGAGCAGGGGGTCATAGTACTCTGTGTCCATTACTTTACGGGAGCGTGCTCGTGCCTGCAAGGCCCCCTCCCCTGCTCCGCCTCCAGGGCAGTGTCCAGGGACCAGGCCCCGTCCCCGGGGACCCACCCTGCTGCTATACCGCATCCGCGGCCATGAACTGGAAGGACCCAGGCCAGGGCCCTCCCCCGGCCGCACACCCCAGTTTCCCTGCATCAAAGCAGAAGCCACTATGGAATTCCCTGGGCGTTTTCTCCCTTGCCCTTGCCATCACCATGTGTCCGGCTCTGGCTCTGCCTCTAGTCCCCAAGCTGACCTCTCAGGGGCTACATGGTTGGGACTGTTAGTGTCTCCATTTCAGTGGAGGAGATGGAGGCACAGAGTGGGTAGGTGCCCAGCCCACCATCACACAGGCTGTAGGTGGGGCAGAGAGCATCAAGGGCCGCCTGCCTCGAGGGATGTGTCCACGGTGGGACACAAGAGTGGGACCGAGAAGAGGGTATTAACACGTCAGTGTCCCTCCACCCCTTGTCCGTGTCCTGAAGGCAACAGAAACAGGGCAGGGGGAAGGTGGTCCCAGCGCTCCCCAACCTGAGTGTCTGCTGGCCCACCCCACCAGGTCTGCTGCTGAGCCTGTTTCCAGGTCATTGGGGTCGCCAAGCACCAGGAATCTTCGATTTACACGCAAGGAAACCGAGGCTCAAACAGGCCATGGATCTCCTGGCTGCCTGTCACCCACACGGCGTTGTTTCAATCTCTTCTTTTTTTCCTTTATTTATTTTGTTAAGTAAGGTGGGATACACATAAAATTAGCCATTTAAAGTGGGCTGTTCAGCGGCATTTTGTGTATTTACGGTGAAGAGCAACTTCCCCCTCTGCCTGTTTGGGAAACCTCCTCACTTCCCCATGGAAACCTGTGCCCTGAAAACATCACTCCCCATTCCCCCTCTGTGAGACCCTCCTTCAGCAGAAGGGGAAACCGAGGGCAGCAGAGGGGCTGGCTGGTGGGGGCGCAGAGCTCTGGGTTTGGCTCCAGGCCCAGGAGAGGCAACAGACCCTGGAAGGCCCCAAGGAAGCGGGGACGGGGGTTCTCCACCAGCCTTGCTGCCCCTGGGGTCCAGGGAGCCCCCAGCTCCTGCCCTGCTCAGAGGTGGCCTGCAGGCTCCCACCAGGAGGCAGCAGAGAGCCTCCCAAAAGCTGGCTCAGCCCTGACCCCAACCTGCCCTCTTGGGCTGGGCGCAGAGAGCGGGGGAGGCTGCAGGGTAATTGAAAACAGGACAATCTGATTACCCACGCTGGTGCGGAGGCCACGGCCTGCACAGTGACCCCAGCACAGATCTCTGACGTCACTGACCGCTAGGCAGAGCCTGGGCCTGGGCCTGTAACTACCCCGTGACGGGTGGGACCTGCTGGCCAGGCCAATTGGGGCCCAACGCCTGCCTGGGAATTCGTACCTTCCCTGACCTTCCTGGAGCTGTCATCCCCGCTGCTCCTGCCGGGAGGTCCCTGCCCCACCCCCCACCCACTGTGACCTAGGGCTCCGGGGCAGCAGACCCGCCAGTCTGAGGGGAGCTGCGGTCATCCCCACCCTGGGGATCTGGGGTGAGTCCATTTTTCTGAGCCCCAGTGTGGTCAGCATTTAAATGCAACTGATGACCCCGGGGGGGGGGGGGGGGGGGGTCGAGTGAAGGTCCACAAACCAGAGGCCTCAGAGCCAGATCAGGGCTGAGACTCCCCTGTTTGCTTCCGACAATATACTTCATACCGCAGGACGAGTGCCAGCAGCCATGGGCTGCAGAGCTCTGAAGGCTGAGTCATCTGCTCAAGTAGCAAGGCTTCTCAGACCCTCAGTCTCTTCTTCATCTGTAACCAGAGCAAACCCCACCTCAGGGTCCTGAGAAGGAGGAGCAAAAATGTACCAGGAAAGGGGACGGGGGGTGGGGGGGGTAGCTCGCAGAATCAGGCAGTCACTCCTTTCGTTGTGGCCAAGGCAAGGAGGGGGTGGGCCGAGCCCTAGGCAGCAGCCCCCCTGTCAGCAGAGTGGGTGTGGAATGGGCTGGTGCCTGGCTCCTATGCACCGAACAGGCACCCAGCCTAGGAGCCCCATGGCCCTTGCTGTAGAAGGCGGCCCTACTGGGCCCATCAGGTAACCGGGCCCATAAGGTAACCTGGCCATGCAGGTTCACCGGACCCCAGTGGAGCAGAACTACTCAGTTACTCTGTTAACTACTGCAGACTCTGCTCAGGCCTCAGCCACGTGGGGAGAGAGGAATGGACCCTCCAGGACGAGCCCCTGTCCCTTAACGGGGGTCCCTGGAGTCTCTCTCACCTGCCTCCCCAAACAGAGAAGGAAAGTGACCTGCCCAGGGTCACACAGCCCCACTTCCTAACGTCAGGGTGCTGGAGCTCCTCCCCAGCATGGCTGTCTCCGCCCTCTTTGGAGACCACGTCTTTCTCTGCACAAGCTTCATACGAGTGACAAATGTTCACCCAAGTCCAGGTTGGCCTCCGGCTTTGGACAAGGAAATGCAGAGAGAGGGATGGTGACGGTCCCAAGGATGCTCAGCATGTGTCCCCATCACCTCCCTGGAGCACCAGTAGCCCCACAGCCTCCAAAAGGGGGGTGGGCAGGGGCACAAGACATAGGTGTGCCTGTTGGGAAGCTGGGCTCTCTCCAGACACGACCCTCCTCAGTGCTAGGACTCCCTTTCTGTGCCAATGGGCCTTGTCCCCTGGGTGCTCGGTTTCCCGGCATGTGGGAGGATGGAGAGAGGGAAATCCAGGCATCAGGAGCCCAGACTCTGGGCCAGCCTCCCGCACAGCTGCGGGTTTCCCCTTCCCTAGCAGAGGGCAATCTCCTGGACGGGTACGCATCTCTGGGCATCTCTGCAGAGGCTCGTTTCCTCCACAGGCAGCCCGGCCCTTTTCCATTCACTGCTGGGCTCCCCAGGCCAGCCCTCACCTCCAGCCGGGAGAAACATTTCACAACCTCTGTGGCTTTGGTCAGCATTCACACAGCCTCCTAGGAAGAGGGAATGTGGCACTAGGGGTGTCTCCGGGAAAGAGCATGTCCCTTCCAGAACACACAGGGTGGGCTCCGCGTCTGTGATGGGTCTGGCATGGCTGGCTGCAGGGTGGGGGGACCTCTCTGGGGACCTATCAATTTGGGGAGGTGGTGAGGCTAGGGGAGGACAGGGCTGGGTTTCCAAAGAAGTCCAAGGGAGGGATATGATGCTGTGTCAGGCTTGGGAACGGGCCCCACCCCTGGGGGAGGACAGCAGGGGTGGCAGATCCCTTTCCAGGACTGGCCAGGCTGGAAGCAGTCCCCTCTCCTCACATTCCACCCAGCCCCCAGCCCGTGGGGCAGCTCCCGCATGCAGCCCTCTCTGAGCCGGCTCCTACCCAGGCCCGAGGCCTGCGGGCCAGCACGGAGGACTCTGCAGGGTGTCGTCCCCACTGGTGCACCCCGGGCTTCTCTGTCCAGCATGGCAGACACACCCATTCCCTACCTGGCCTGTATCCTGGAGCCCAGTGTGAAGTTGGACGGGCCCCAACTGAAAGGACGTCTGCATTCCTGGACATGCCCAGAGGGTCCTCTCCCATCTCTGCCGGGTGCTGCGGCACAGGCCACCCTGTGCCAGGAGGGTCCTGCTGGGAGGGCGAAGTGCTGTGAGCTCAGCCGCTCATGTGTCTGCACCCCGATCTCAGCCGACACGGTGGGGCAGACCCAAAGAGAACCCCAAGGCCCACGGAGTAGATGTGGGGAGGCCTCTGCACCCTCCCATGCACATCGGGGATAAACATTCCCAGCAAGTGAGGAACAAACCCGCCTCAGTGGACAAGGGCTTTTTGCCCACCGTGGAGCCCCAGCAGGATCCCTGTGAGTCCGAAGAGGGGGCTGGGCGGCGCCCCCCACTTCCCGTCCACATGATTCTGAAGGTCCCAGAAAAGCAGCCAACCAAGGAAAAAAGACAGGTTCAAAGGGTGGATAAAGAAGAAAGGAGCAGACGTTATCCGCAGGTATAATCCGCAGGTCCGATCACTTGCACAGAAAACCCCAGTCCCCGCAGCCTCTGGGATGAACAGGAAGGCGTCCCAGCAAATGGTCCTGCTGAACCCCGATCCTACAGACTCACAGCACTGAGCTGGGAAATGCATTTTAAAACCCCTGCGGTTCACAGTATCAAGAATATATACAGATATCGGGGAGTAGGCCTAACCCAGTATTTCCCGCGTTCCTATGGGGGAAATGTCAGTCTGGTAAAGACGTCCGCAGCTTCGTGACGACTGCAAAATACAGTCCCACAGAGTGGATGTAACCTTCGCACACGGACTCTGGAAAGGCAGGAGGAACAGATGTCAGGCGAGCGGACCGTACTCTCCTGAAGAAGAGGACACCTTGCAGCGGGGGCCCTTTCCCTGTTAGAGCTGATGGTTTGTTGTAAAACCGCTTCAGACTGTAGGGCACTATCAGGACGGGGTCAGTAAATAAATATGAAAAACAGAAACGCCCAGAACTGAGTTCATAGACGCGTGGACATGGCGCCCAGAGAGCCGACCTGTGGCTGACCACCTTGAGGTCCAGCCTCGGCCGATGCTCGCTCATCCCCGAGCACGGGAGGGGCGGTGAGGACGCAGACATAGGAGCTCCCAGACACTGCTGAGCTGGGCTGACCCCTGGAGAGAGCAGTCACCCAGCGCTGTCCTGCGTCATCTAGAAAACCCAGAAATGAACTCCCCTTCCCATGCACGGTGTTCAGGTGTGCACGTCTCCCTCCACAGTGAGCGTCAGGCACGAACCCTGGAGATGTGCCCGATTGCATGGAAACCCCCTTTGATGGCAGGTGTGGCAGAAGGTAATGGACACAGCTCTTCCCTGGAGAGGTGCATCCCCTCCCCTCGTGCGTGGCTCTGGCCGATAGACATTCCTGCTCTGCGCATAGGAGAAGGCCTGGAAACCATGGCCACATGGGTACAGGCTGCCTCCTGTGCACCGGGAGCCCTGAGCCTCCGTGAGACCTGGCTGTGCCTCCTGGAGAACAATGAGGCCACCAGCAGGAGAAGCCAGGTGTCCCCGATGGCTGCTGTCCATGTGAGCATGGCCATCCCAGGTCATGCGGTCACTCAGGCACCAGCTGGGCACC